AAATTTTAAAAAATTAAAAAATTTGGAAATTCCCAAAATAAAATTATTATCATTAAGCGAATGTCAATATGGGCCAAAATTAGTCGATATGATTGAGGTTTTTGTTTATTTATCCATAAAATTTTTTGTTTATAACTTTAAACTTATTATTAAATTTAATTTTTAGGCTTGCACGTCAAAAATGGCCGAAAACATTGTCGATTATGAAAATTTAAAAATTTTGGGTGATTCGTTTTTAAAATTTTCCTGTTCGTTTTTTCTATTCAAAACTTATCCATCTCTTCACGAAGGGATTTTAACAAACGTCAAAGGGAAATTAGTCGGAAATAAAAATCTATTAGATTGCGGCGTTGCCAAAAATCTACCAAATTTTATTAACGTAACGTATTTTGCGTGTGCGTGTGTGTTGTAAAAGAAATAAAGAAAAGAAAAAATGATGATGATGATGATGATTTTTTTTTTTTTTTAGACGAATGATTTTTCACCTAATTTCGATTGGAATCCACCTTTATTCAGTACACCGGAAGTATTATTAAATTATATCGTTTCAAAAAATATGGATCCGTCAATTATATCCCGTTTGGAAATACCACAAAAAGAATGTCTCACTGGTATTTTATCGGAGGAAACAATCGAATCCGTATTTATTTATATTAAATATTAATTTTAATTGTATGATTAATCGATCGATCGATCGCGATGGGGGGAATTAATAATAACAAAAATAAATAAATTTCAGAATAGAAAACTAATAGACGAAGAAGGTGTAAAAAAACTGGGTTTGGTAAAGAGTCCATTTTTAAATACCGAATTAATGAGCGATAAAACGATATCCGACGTTGTCGAAGCTCTCATCGGAGTTTATTTATTGGTAATGGCGGCTATGATTAATGATGATTTACGATTAGAAACAATAATATGTATATAATAAATAAATAAATTTTAATTAATTTAGAACGGTGGATTAGCGGGCGGTTTTAAAATACTCAATTGGTTTGGTATTTTACCGGAGAGTAATGGAACCTACGAAGAAATAATGAAAAAACCCGTTCGAGTTAACGATGTAAATGATGAAGAGTCCGCCGTTATGACGATACTCGGTGACGTTTTTTACACGGATCTGGAAGAAACTTTGGGATACACTTTTAAAAGAAAGGAATTATTATTGGAAGCCATAACTCATCCTTCGTACGTGAGAAATCGATTAACTCCCTGTTATCAAAGACTCGAATTTTTAGGGGATGCAATTTTAGGTTTTTCTTTTTTCTTTTTCCTCGTTTTTGTTCGAATTTCATGTAATTAATGTTTAATGTTATTATTATTATTATTGTTTTTTTGTTAAAGATTTTCTGGTGACTGTTTACATTCAAGAAAATTTCAAAGATATGAATCCGGGATTGATAACGGATATACGTTCAGCTTTGGTTAACAATTCGACTTTGGCTTGCCTTTCCGTTAAATACGATTTTCACAAATATTTATTATACACGAGTTCGCCATTGAATAAATGCATTGAAAATTTTGTTAAAATACAAATATCGAATAATCACGCGGTTAACGAACAAGTAATAATAATAATGATAATAATTATTGATTTTATTTATAATTAATGGCGATAGTTTAGTAAAAAGATGAAATGTAATGATGATGATAATAATTATAATTTTGTACAGGCTTTAATTACGTTGGAAGAAAATGATGCCATCATGGCTGAATCAGTGACCGTGCCAAAAGCTCTCGGTGATATTTTCGAATCACTCGCGGGCGCCATTTTTATCGATAGCGAAAATTCATTAGAAACGGTTTGGAACGTTTTTTATAAGATAATGAAAAAGGAATTGGGTTAGTTAATAATAATTATTAGTTGATTTCTTATTTAATTTATAATTTCCAATTGGATAATTTAAAATAATCATTTCACAGATGAATTCACGGTGAATCCTCCGAAGACGGCCGTACGAGTTTTACACGAAATATGCGGTGAAAAACCATTTTTCGAGTAATTTAAAAAAATTATCATCATCATCATCATCATTATTAATTATTATTATTATTGTTATTATTATTAAATTAAAATTAAAATTTTCAGGACTACGGTTTATGAAAAAGTTGTATCCGTTAAATGTTCAATTTATTATAAGGATGAGGAAATTGTCGCTCACGGATTTGGTGATAATAAAAAAGATGCGAAAAAAAGTGCTTGCAAAATGGCGTTGAAACAAATTTTCGATGGAAATTAATATATTGTTTTTTTGTAACCGGGAAAATACGCAGAAAATACGCATTTTTTATTTTTACTTTTATTAGTCTTATTATTATTGTTGTTGTTGTTACTGTTGTTATTATTATTATTACCTTATTATATTAATATTTTTTTATACGTAGTAAAAATTATTATTATTATTAATATTATTATTCAAATGAAAAATTTTAAACGTGATTTTTTCTTTTTTTTAATTTATCTATCAGATCATTATACGTTTCCCCCTCGCCTCACGCCCTCCCTCCCTCCCCCCTCCTTCACAAGTTTGATTTGAATTTAATAGTAATAATAATAATAATAATTATAGGGAATGATAAAAGAAAATTTAATTAATTTTTTTTTTTTTTTAGTTATTATTTTTTATAAATGAAAACAAATTATATTTAATAAAATTAATAATATTAAAAAATAATAATAATAAAATAATAAAATCCTACACCAATTATACAACAATTTTAAATATATATATATAATAAAAAATTACACGAAATTAATAATAATAATAATAAT